GCAGAGTGTCCAGGAGCCCCACTCCAGGATGCCCACCAGCACCCCAGAGAGGCGGGTGCCCCAGGAAGTTCAGCTCTCCCATTTCAAAGACAGGGAGGCCCTTTTTCACAAAGATAGGAGAAAACTCCAGCCCAGCGCCTTGGTGCCTTCCTATCAAGGGCAGAGAAAGGAGAACAAATAAAAGCTTCAGTCACAGCTGACTCCTGGTGGAAGTCCCTGCTTGAACCCCAGGACTTCCACCTGGACTCTCCTTATCTTGAAAGGCAAACATCAGAACAGGAAGCTTGAGCCAGTGCTCCTGGGAGCTACCTGTCTCCTTGCAAGGAATGGGCAGGGCTCTGGAAATCATGCCGTGAGTTAGAAGGCACCTTCCGGGAGCTGCCTGGTTGTCAGGACTTGGCATGTCTTGCAAAGGCTGGGACAGTGGTCCCCACGGCCTGGATGCTTGGCTGCTGCTCCCGGCTCCCCTGAGCTATAGACAGAAACTCCACTTTTTGGTAACAGCTTTCCTGAGGTAGAAAGCTCACGTACAGTACAGTTCACCTCTTTAAAGTGTGCACTTCAGTGGTTTTTGTCTGTTCACAGAGTTATACAAGCATCACCACCATCCATCTCAGAACATTTCATCACCCCCAGAGAAACCCGGCACCAGTCAGCAGTCACCGCCTTCTGCCCCCTCCGCCCCTGCAAACCACACAGCTCTCTGTCTGCAGAGATTTGCCGATTCTGGACATTTCACATAAGTGGGACACATTCCATTCCTGTCACACCTCTGTTTGTGGCAAAGGCAGACTGAGAGATTCCCAGGGGCGGCCCACCACCAGCACGCCCAGTCCTCCAAGGTCAGGGGCTTCTCCTCATGAGGACGTGATGGTAGAGGAGAGGGCCTTTCTCTGCTGTCCCCGAATGTGAACTTGGAACGTGAGGTATCAGAGGAGGTTACTGCTGTTGAGGCAAAATCTCAGAGCATTTGACAAAGACACTCTGAATGGCCTCACTCTTGGACACTGTTGCAAAATTCGAATGCTGTTAAAACTTCTGTCCACTTTTTACTCATTTTCCAGGTAGCAGAAGGCCAGGAGATTTGTGTGATTGAAGCCATGAAAATGCAGAACAGTATGACAGCTGGGAAAACTGGGAAGGTATGTCCCCAAGTTCCCGCCAGCTTACTTGGCTGTGACAAGAAGCAGAACTTCCACCTTTGAATCCTGGATGGTTGGGCCTGAAAGGGCTGCTAGAGGGGGCCTCTCCGTGGACGGGGACACTGACATGGGGGCTCCCTTCACTCCGCATGGATGTGACCTGCCCCACGGAGAGCAGGCCTTCCAGGAGAGTCTGTGTGATGCCCAGGGAGTTGGGGAACAATTGTTCTTCACCTTAATGTCTTTCAAATTAAGAGGTCTTTAATTTTTAATGTTTACATCTGTCTTTGAGGCAGTTAGTTATCCGAGACTTAGGTGACACAGCGGGAAATGGTTTTAGAGATTGCAAAAATTAATGCAACTCTTCAAGATAATTTCTCCACAAAGAGAACAACTCAACTTTAGATCGAGAGGAGCTGAAGGGCCCACGTACACATGTGGGACTTAATGATACAGGGAGGGAAAAAAAGGAAAAGATAAACTAGTACTGAAATTTGTTAAAAGTAAAGCCTCTTAAATGTATTTTCTCAATGAAGAAAATAGAAAAGTCCTTTTAAGCAGTTACTTCATTTTCTTTCCTGTGACTGAAAAGACACCATTTGTAGCAGGATGATCTTTTTCTGAAAGAGTTTGGTTTGGAAGTATCGCATAGTGGAGCGAGGCGAGGTGGGGCAGATGGGGTGGGCCGGGTCCTGCCCTGTGGCCGCTCCCAGGAAGCAAGATGGATCCTCGGGGACAGTGGGTGTCCTGGCAGAAAGGTCCTGTCAGCTCACAGAGAGACACAGCCTCTGTCTGTCTCTCCAAAAGGAAATGAAACTGATGCTCAGAGAACAGCCTGAGGGGACGCCTAGTCCAGTCCCAGCCACGAGGGCAGAGGCCCGGTGCGTGGCTGTGGGCCCTGAGCCGAGTGGCCAGCCTGGAGGGGGCATCAGGCGGCTGCACCCCGTCCCCTCGATTTTGGGAGAGGAGAATGGCATATGTGCAGCCTTGGGGGGGGGGTCCTGCTTTCTGTATCTGATTACTTTTGAAGAACTGAACAAGGAGATGCTGTATCTGCTCTTGTGAAGACTTGTGTTTGCTCCTTGGGATTAGTTAATGTTTATGCTGCACTAGCGTCATGAGATCTCCCTCTGTGAAGAGAACTGGCCTCGTTTGGGGGACCTGGAATATATCTCAGAGGCACGCCCAGGGCCAGCATGCTGGACTGAGGCACTGATGGAAAAGTGAATTTGGCCTTAGCTCCCTGAAGGAGCAAGGGCCCCGCCCATCCACGTGGTTTATGTCCTCAGGGCCTGGGTCTCACGGGGAGGCCGGGCTGCTGTCAGGGTACTGCTGGGCTCTGGGTGAATCTGCGTGTTGGCCCTGCCCTGTCGATTGGAGTTCCTCCTGCCCCCACAGGGCACCAAGGAGCTGGCCCCGGCGAGCCTGGGGCTGGTGGGTTCTTGTTTCTGGAAAGGCCAGTTTTCCTCCCAGAGGAAAGGTTCACAGTGGAAATAGGTCTTAGAGTCTGGTTACTGCAGCAGCATGACAAATATGTGCCATAAAAACGTCGGCGGCTCCAGGTCAAAAGCAGCAGCCACTTCGGTGCAGACGGCCCTGCCGGACGGGACCTCTCAGGTCCCCGCAGGGGTTCTCATCGTCCTGGAAGACCCTGGGCTGGGGCTCAGAGCTGCGGGGACACAGGCCAGGCCACCCAGCCCACGTCTCTGGCCCTTTGCCCGTTTGCCACCTGCCCAGGAGGCCAGTTAGTTCCAGCCCATCGTTCATCTTCATATCGAAGCAAGACCCTCCAAGTCAAATGACCGTCTCTAATTAATTTTAAATATGAACACAAACATGGGAAAGCCAAAGTTGACTGAAATCAGGAGAAATCAGTGGTAATTGAAGGGCACAGCAGCAACATCGAGGGAGCCTGCTGCCTGCTCCACCTCAGGCCAGGGTACGACCCCTGCGTCTGAGAATTTTTCCTTCAGAAGGAAGCTTCTGATCAGACTAGGGAGTTCCTCCTGTTAATTAGTACCTGTTTTGACTCTTGTATCATTGTGTGTGGGTTTTGGGGGTTTTTTTAACGCTAAGTACACCACTAGCTTTCAAAATTTTTTTTCAATTTTTTTGATAATTTCATATTTTAATTTATTTTTTAGTTTTTGGCTGGGGAGGTGATTTATTTTTAGTGGCGGTACTAGGGGTTGAACCCAGGACCCTGTGCATGCAGGACGCACGCGCTACCGCCTGCGTTACGCCCGCCCTCCCACCCTTAGTGGCTCTCCAGGACGTATCTGTAACTGAGCCTCCTAGGATGCATTTATTTTTGATGGGGCTCCTGGGGTTGAACCCAGGACCCTGTGCATGCAGGACGCACGCGCTACCGCCTGCGTTACGCCCACCCTCCCTCCCTTTGGCTCTTCAGGACGTTTCTATAACCGAGAACCATAAGCATGGAGAGCAGAGCATGGACGCTCATCCAGTGTAAACACTACCAGTTTCTAGGGTGTTGCCCAGACCCCCAAGTGTACCCTCTGCGAATGACTACATAAAGTCCCTGAGACCAGTGGATTGACAAGGCTCAGGAGAGGGAAGGTGGCGAGTCACAGCCCTCCACAAGGATGTCCCTGTGCGTGAGGTCCCCTCTGATGGGCGCCCTACGCCAAGCACTCTGTCTGTGCTCCAGTGCCCGCCAGGGTGTCACTTCATTTCCAGAAACAGATGACGAGATTGCTCCCTCCTGGTCTAGTTAATAATTCTTACTCTCCCCTTTTTCTTTCTTTAATTCAAGGTGAAATCGGTGCATTGTAAAGCTGGAGACACAGTTGGAGAAGGCGATCTGCTCGTGGAACTGGAATGAAGTATTTATAGCCTTTCAGTCATCACCCAATTTAATTAGCCATTTGTATTATTATTCTTTCACACTCAATTTATTCAAGCGTTTTGCAGGAACACCCCTGTGCAGCAGATTTTACATGGTCATATTTATTCCACATATAGTCAAAACCAACCTTCTGCCAAAAAATCACCAATGGAAATTTTTATTGATATAAATACTTGTACATATGATTTGTACTTCTGCTGTGAGATTTCCTAGTGTCAAAATTAAATCAATAAAACTGAGCATTTGTCTAAATATTAGTTTGCCCTTTTTTTGAATGAAGACAATGTACATAAGAGGCTGTGGGCTGTGCCAGTAGACGTTAAATGCTACCATTTCATTGGGATCCTTTTAAAGAACTTATATAAATCCCAGTTCTTTGCCTTCCATTTCATTAAATTAGCATTTGCCACTTTATAATCTGATTACCTGCTTCGTCCTGCTTGAGGACCTAACTGCTGCTTCATAACCTCCTGAAGCCCACCCGGCACAGATGATTTTGGAAATCACTCCTGTGTGGCTCTGCTGGTGAGTGTGGAGCTGCTGGCTCCCCGGGACCCTAGGGTGTCCCCACTTCCCCATCCCAGGGCCCAGACACCGGGGGGAGCGCCCCGGGTGCAGTAGATGGGGCTGCCATAGTGCATCAGCTGATACCCATCCTCGCCTTTTCTGCGTTTTTGTGAAGCAAGTTTCCAATTAAGAAAAAAGGGCTAAAAATAACGATCATGTTTTGTGCCAGATGCAGTTAGCACTCACAGTCTACTATTAAGCTGAAGAGGAAGTGAGCTCGCCTGACGGAGAGGTTACTCGGGATCAGCAGCTGCATTTTCATTTGGTTCTGAAATTTTTAGAATACGGTTAATAGTTTGCTGGTAAGTAAGCAGAGGCAGGGTCGTGCGCTGATGTGAATCCACGCTGACAGATGATCAGATGGAGGTGGGTAGTAATTGGTACTTCGTGCCTTGCTAAAATTATTTTAAGTGCTGTTTGTATTTGGAAGCTAAGCTTTCTGTCAGGCCTGAAGAACAAATTACTAATGTGTTGGTTTTTCTCTGAAAGGCCCACCCCCAAACACCGCTCCCTTGGGGGGGTGGGGGAGGGGGAGGGAGGGTGGTACCTTGCTGTGGTCTCACGTGCGCTTCCGTCTGAAATCAGGCCGTTTGGCTGCTCTGCCAGCAAGTGGGTGCTCGTTATTTTGCTAGATTAAAAGGAAAAGAACCTCCAACCAAGTAAGCAGACTCAAAAAGATGTCCAACAATAGCACCAGTTCTTTTATGTTTGATTCCCAAAACATCTAGTTTAATTTTAAATGATTATCTTTGATAATCTCTGTAAGCTTGATCTGAGAATTATGAAACATGATGTTATGTATATTCAAAACTACTCTGAAATACTGCATGTTTTTCTTGAGGTTCTTTTATTACACTGAGATGTCCAAAATCAGCTTTAAAATTGTTTTTCCCCTCAGTGCTCAGGTCAGAATCAGTACAGCAGGGCTGCTAAAATCTAGCTGCAATATAAAGTCTGTACGTTCAGTTTTAAATGTTATCTTCAGATTAAAGCAAAGGAAAAAAACAAAAACAAAAAACAAAACCACACAATAAGAAAACCATGATAACATACAAGTTTTTGAAATGTCATTTAGGGGAATTAAAATCCTAAGTTTTCCTCATCCAGTGCATTCAAGCCCAGGGTGCTCTTGAAGCAGCAAGCAATAAAGCAGTGACAGTGAGAGAGATTTCAGGAAACAATCTTGTTATCAGCGTGGGAAAATTATTTGGGAAATCAGCTGCCACTGAAAAAGATTTTCTCCCCCAACAGATTAAGTTTTACAATTTTTTTGTTTCAAGGAGCGTTATCAGGCTTTTGCACTCGGCGAGCGCTGACGGCTGAGGTCACCCTCTAACCATCGGGCTCTCTGTCCTGCTGCTGCCTCCCACCGCCCCCTCATCTGTTTTCCCGCGGGTTATAGCGAAGCCCGTGCTCCCCCTGCGAGTCGTAATCGTCGTGGTAGGGGAGGTGGACCCACTCGGGCGGGTAGGTGGCCGTGCTGTACACGAAGCACTGCAGGGTCCCGCCGGCCCCCTCCACAGCGATCGTCACCAGGGTGCGCTGGTACATGTCTGGGCAGCCTTCGAACTCGTCCAGGAAGTGCAGCATCTGCTCGTCCACCGCGTAGATTTCCCCGGCCACGCGGTTCCCCCGCCCCGGCAGGTTCAGCAGCCGAGGGATGTTGTGCTCCCCCGCGATCACCAGCGGGTACGGCTGCACCGTGCGGCCCCGGCCTCGGAGGGCAGCGCGGCCGTGGGCGCCGTCCAGCAGGACCTTGTGGTTGGGCTGGCCTGTCTTCAGGGTCCCGTACACGAACACGTGGGCCATGCGGCTGCTGAAGCTGCAGAGAAGGAAGCAGAGCAATGCTGTGATGCGGTCAGAGGCGGCGGCAACCTCTCTGGGCGGCCTCCTGGGCACCACCCAGCACGACTATTCCGGATCACCGGGAACACCAACCATCACTTACATTTTTCCAAGAAGAGGGACTCATTTGAAGAACATACTTGTCAGATGAGACGGCCTGTCCTGGGATCAAGTCCTGCAGAACTGCTGTTTTGTAAGAGCAGTTCGTTTTCAATTGTTTTGAAAGGACTTTAAACAATAAAAGATGGGTGCCAGCAGGATGCAATGGGTTTGGATAGGAGACTGGACCCCCGAACCCCACTGCCCCTAATCCTTGCCCCACCCCAATGTGATCTTCTAGAACCATCGATCTAGCAATAACAACTCCAAGTTGGACCGGGATGCCCCATTTCTCGCCCTCCCATCCTCCAGAACCTTGGCAGGCTGCCATCTTGTGCTTCCAGCCTGTCCCACCCTGCACCCCGGCAACGGGGGGGGGGGAGGGTCTGGCCAATCCTCCAGGCCTGTTGGGGCCTGCAGCCTCTCACCCTCACCTCCCTCCAGCCACCCCCAATGCCCGCTCAGCCCCTGCCCCTGCACAGAGGCCTCCCTGAGCGGCCACACCACCCTGGTTTGCCCTTCTCACGGTGCGGGTTCTCTAAACCAATCACAGTGCTTGTCTTGTTTGCTGCCGGGATGTGAAGAGTTGAAAGAGAAATGGGAACCATCCAGTCCTTCTGGGCTGAGTCTCCGGCTGGTGAGGACTCAGGCCACACAGCTGGGTGAAACCAGCCAAAACTGGAGGCCTGCTCTCCTGATCACTGGTGCCCTTTCTGCTTTGACTCGGCTTTTAAAGTAACACATATCCATAAGGTAAAAGTTAAATAACTTTACAAGAAAAATAAAATCCTACTCTTCCCACACCCCTGAAGAGACACATTTAAGCCTCTAAAACCTACACTGCTACTTCCTAGTGTTTAATTCGTCTTGCCTTCCCACCCCAGAGCAGGTGAGCAGTGTTACAGCACAGACGTTAAAACCAACCTGCCCGGGCTGAAATCTCAGCTCTGCCCCTTGTTAACTGTGTAACTTTAGGCAAAGCACTTAAAGTCTCTGGGCCCCGGCTTCCTCGACTGTAAGCAAAGCGGTGACGGCACCTGCCCCGGAGGCCTGCCGAGACAGCGCCAGTCCTGTGCCCCGTGAGGCCATGGTAACCGTGAGCTGTGGCCATGCCACTGCAGAGCCCCACGTTCCTCCAGTAGGTTCACATCCCTGGTTTTGGTCAAATCCATATTCAGTTCAGCATTAGAACTATGTAAACACTGTTCTCAGATAGGGCACATAGTGTACTATGATTAATTTCCTTTCTTGGACAACCGTTTGTTTTTACTGGAATTAAAATTTGCTTCAGCGTTTTTCTCCTTTTTTCTGTTTTGCTCATTGCTCAAGTTTCCATGACAGTCCTTCGGCTTTGTTTTCTGAGAGCACCACCGTAAGAATCCTTGCAGCCCCGAACACCTGGTCTTCCCCGCAGCCATCGCCCCAGCCGGGGTCTGCGGTCCCCCAGGCTTCCCAAGTGTCTCCTGGGGCCCAGCCCCTCCTTGGTTGACTTCCTCGTTTTACTGAAGCTATTATTCCCCAGTCTCAATGAACAGTGTAGCTGGGTAGAAAATTCTAGAAATAATTTCCTTCAGAACTTTAAAAGCATTTCTTTTTTGACTTCTGATGCCCCAGGTTCATGCTGAGAAGTCCAGGGCCACTGAGACTCACAACCTTCATAAAAGACTGAGGCTCTTCCCTCTGGAGGCTCCTAGGGTCTTCTCTCCCCTGGATTCTGAGGTTCTGTAACGAGGTCTCTTTATGCGGGTTTTTTTCATTCACTGTGCCAGGAATTTCCACCTAAAAACTCATTATCTTGGATCGTGAGGACTATTCGTCCTAGTCCTTCCTTGTACTCTTTCTGGATCGCCAGTACTCAGATGTTGCATATCCTGGATTAATCTTCCAATTTTCTCTTTATATTCTGCTTTATCTTTCAATTCTTCTATTATTTTTAAAAATATTTTTACCATCATACTTACTTCCAAGACCATCATCTTGTTCCCTTGTTTTGTGAGCATCCTGTTCTTTCACAGAATACCATCACTCATCTTTGGGAAGATATAAATTATCATGAATTTGGGTGTTTTGTTTTTTTTTTAAAGTTTTCATCTTTCCCTGGATTGCTTCTGTTTCTCCTAAATTTCTCTTTTCTATTTGTTTTGGTATATGTTTCTTTAATAGGTTTCCTTCAGACGTCTCAGTAATCCTTGGCTGGCCTTTTACGGTGGAAAGTGAGACACCATACAGGAGACTGTGTGGAGGTTGGGGTTGGCAGGCCTTGCATGGAGGCCTCCAGGTAACAGAACCATAGGTATGTGGACTTGCCCTCCATCCCCATCTTCAGGTGCCTCCTCACCCCCACGCTCAGCTAGGCCTGCTCTTCCCAATACCAAGCTTCTTGCCAAGCCTCTGTGGACATAAGCCACCTGCCCCCTGCTGGCCAGAGGGTAGATGGGGGTCTCTGCTTTTCCTTTTTTGGATAGTGGCCATCCTAAAGTGTGAAGTTTTAATTTGCATTTCTGAAGTGATTAGTGATGTTGAACATCTTTTTATGTTGGCCATTATATATCTTTTTTGGAGAAATGTCTGTTAAAGTCCTTTGCCTGTTTTTTAATCAGGTTGCTTTTTCATTGTTGAGTTACAGGAGTTCTCTGTATCTTCCGGATATTAACCTCTTATTAGACATATGATTTGCATACTTTCTCCCATTTCATAGGTTGCCTTTTTACTCTGTTGATTTTGATGCACAGAAGTTTTACATTTTGATGTCACCTAATTTTTGCTTTTATTGCCTATGATTTTGGTGTCATATCCAAGAAAACTTTGCCAAGCCCAGTGTCATGAAGCTTTGGCCTTATGTCTTCTCCTAATAGGAGTTTTATAGTTTTTGCTCCAATGCTTAGGACTTTTATCTATTTTGAGTTAATCTTTGTATATGGTAAAAAGTAAGGGTCCAATTTCATTCTTTTGCATATAGATATCCAGTGGCCCTTTTGTTGAAAAGACTATCTTTTCCCCTTTGGTCTTTCTACCTTTGTCAAAAATCATTTGACCGTATATCCAAGGATTTCTTTCTGGACCCTCTCTTGTGTTTCATTGGTCTACACAGCTGTCTTATGTTAGTCTCACACTGTTTTGATTACTGTTGCTTTGCAGTATTTTTGAAATCAGGAAGTATGAGACTCCAGCTTTGTTTTTCTTTCTCAAGATGGCTTTGCTTATTTGGGGTCCCTTGAAATTTCATATGAACTTCAGGATGGATTTTTCTATTTCTGCAAAAAAAAAATTATTGGGAATTTTGACAAGAATTGCACAAAGTCTGTAGTCGCTTTAGTTAGCACTGCCATCTTAACAATATTAAGTCTTCCAATCCATGAACATGAGATGTCTTTCCATTTATTTAAATTTTTGTTTTGTTTTATTATTTTTTAAATTGAAGTACAGTCAATTACAATGTGTCAATCTCTGGTGTACAGCACAGTGTCCTAGTCATGCATATACATACATAAATTTGTTTTCATATTTGTTTCATTAAAGGTTATTACAAGATATAGAACATAGTTCCCTGTGCTATACAAAAGAAATTTTTTTAAAAATCTATTTTCGTATATAGTGGCTAACATTTGTAAATCTCAAACTCCCAAATGTATCCTCTACCACCTCCTTTCCCTGGTATCAATAAGATTGTTTACTATGTCTGCGAGTCTGTTTCTGTTTTGTAGATGAGCTCATAGTTTGTTTTTTTTTTAAGATTCCACATATGAGTGATATCATATAGTATTTTTATTTCCCTTTCTGACTTACTTCACTTAGAATGATGGTCTCTAGGTCCATCCATGTTGCTGCAAATGGCATTATTTTATTCTTTTTTTAGTCAAAGTATTATTCATTCCATTGTATAAATATACCACAACTTCTTTATCCAGCCACCTGTTGATGAACATTTAGGTTGGTTCCATGTCTTGGCTATTGTATATAGTGCTGCTATGAACATTGGGGTGCATGTATTTTTTTTTTTTTTGCATTAGAGTTCCCTCTGGATATATACCCGTAAGTGGGATTGCTGGATCATATGGTAAGTATATTTTTAGTTTTCTGAGGAATCTCCATACTGTTTTCCATAACAGCTGCACCAAACTGCATTCCCACCAGCAGTGTAGGAGGGTTCCCTTTTCTCCACACCCTCTCCAGCCATTTATCATTCATTGGTATTTTTGAATGATGGCCATTCTGACAGGTATGAAGTGATGCCTCAT